GCATATGTCAGAATAACACCCCTGGCTCCGCTCATGTAGATAAAAATCAACTGTGGTCTTAGCTCAAAAGGTATTATCCGTAATTATGTTCGGTAGTGTTTCCCTCTCCTGCTGAGGAATGGTACTGGCCGGTAACTCATACAAAAGCCAACTCTCATCCATCATATCGGGCACGAGAGAGGGTTTATCAATATGTCGACATATGACGCCATGTGAATCAGGCTCTTAAACGGTGGGAGGGATCTCTTGAACGATGACAGGGGCCTCTTGAATAGTGGGAGGGGGCTCTTGAACTATGAGAGGAGCCTCTTGAATGATAGGAGGCGCATGTTGAACGATGACAGATGAATCAGGCTTCTTCTTACGGAGTCTTGGCACTAGTGGGGTGAAAGGAGACGTAATGGCACGTGCACGACGTCTGATGCGTGAACCCCGTCGTACAAGAAAAACCTGACGTAAAGCATCTACCTTATCGGGCCGCTGAAAATAAATTAATACATAAATCAGTAAATAAATAAATAAATAAATAATGTCGAAAAAAGGTTATTTGCATTTTTAGTATAGTATTAAACAAATTTACCTCATTGCGTAGAGTATGAACCTCATTCTGTAACGATAAAACAATCTCACGTAGAGCGGCTACCTCATCACGTAAAATAGATACCTCACCACGTAGCGTACCATTGTCATCGCGTAAAACATCCACCTCACCACGTAAAGACCGTACCTCATCACGCCATGCACCATTGTCTTCACGTAAAGTATCGACCTCATGACGCAAAGCACCGACCTCATCATATAACTCCCCTAACTCATCCCGTGGAGGTGGAGAACGGGGAGATAAATATCGTGACCTCTTTGCCGATCGCCTATCATGAGGTGATGGTGGAGAAGAGGCTCGATGATGTGATAGAATAGGTGATGGTGGAGGTGGAGAAGAGGCTTAATCAGGTGATGGCTCCGGGTGTCGAGCTGTAGAATCGGCCCGATCAGGTGATGGCTCTCGAAGTGGGGGGTGCTCATCATCCGTCCCATCAAAAAACCGCTTACTAGCTTGCCACCAATCAGTGGCAAGCTCAGCCTCTGTGGGTGTCAGCCTTTGTAATGGATAGTTGGCCTCCTAACAATATAAAAGCTCAAACAAAGTTAAACGTATACTAGTAATAACTTGTTTATATATGGTAGTATTTGTGTGTTAACTTACATCATTCATCGTCGTATATGGTAGTAACTCTTCCCAATCCAACAGACGGATCCTCCTTCAGGTAATAGCCCTAGGAATATCATTTGAATTTTTTATCGCATATGTCCGCATGCTGGGAAAAGCCTCAAATATCCAAATCTACAAACAATATAATACACAAACATCAGTAATTGTTAAATAATTAATTATAAACTTGGAAACATTATATAGAAATTCTTACCTTAAAGGCCCAAATAAAGCCTGACAAAGTGTATTTAGAACCATCGCCCCGTAAACTTTTTCGGTCCTCAAAGGCAGACGACAACTTCTTCAAGGTAGCTTTCCATAGATATGAACCCCACGGAAACAGGTTCCATGCATTTAGGTCCTCTATCAATAATATTAGGTCTTCAGAAATAGGTTGTCTGCCCTCTTTGCCTAAAAAGCCGGCATACAAAAGTAATAAATGGCATACTTGGACAACATCAAGGTCATCCATCCGAGTAAAACCATCTTTAACAAATAATCTCTTCAAGTCGTCGACATGTAAACTCAGCTGCGACTTTGCCAGCTCAGAAAAAACCCGAGATAACCATGATGGGGGGAGATATGACTAGTGTACCGGGTTACTTCATCGTGTCTGAAGCGTAGACCAGTGATTAAGCAAAACTCCTCCCGCCCAAAACAGGTATACGCCGGAGGAAAATGAAATCATATCTCTTCATCACCACGTTGTATCCTCTCGGGTAGATCGTTAGTCATGGTCTGAATAAACAAATGTGTCAACATAGCATCTCCACCCGGATGTTGTACTTTCAGCCATGGCCCGAAGCAAGTATCCTCAAACAATTTTCTTTGTAGAGGTGTAAGCGTCGATGCAATTTTAGTGGCTAGGCTTAATTTATTCCTTAAGGTCAATTGATCTGAAAAAAAATTCTACAAAAACAATAAACATACCAAGTTAGATATACCAAAAACTACAAATTATACACTATAAACACACATGATATTAAACAGTGAAAACAAAGCCAAATATGTTTCAAAATAGCACGGTATTCACCCAAGTCATTATTCCATCATAGTTCACAAAATGCATCAGATAACATTCCAGAAGTAAGTACTTATATAAACATTTAAAAGGATAACATATAGGTTTAGTGCAAGTTCAAGGACAACATAAAGAGTAGTAGTTTATTCTTGAAACTTAAATTCGCAACACTGTGAAGTTAGTATTTGTCTTTGTTTTTTGGTTGAAGTAATGCAATTCATTCAAGTTTCAATTTGCAGAATAAGAGTAGTTTTTGAAACTTAAATTCGCAACACGAAAATGAAAATCACAACGCAAAAATGAAAATCTCAATAAGAAAATGAAAATCGCAAAGCGAAAATGAAAATCGCAACGCGAAACTAAAATCGCGTTGCGATATTCATTTTCGCATTGCGATTTTGGTGTTGTGATTTTCATTTTCGTGTTGCGAATTTAAGTTTCAAAATCTATTCTTCTACAAATTGAAACTTGAATGAATTGCATTTCTTCAACAAAAAGACAAAACAAAGACAAATACTAACTTCAAAGGGTTAAAGACTAAACAGTTTAGCAGTATTGGCAGCAACAAATGAATTTACTAAGCAATCTCAGTGAAATGGTTAATCTATATATATATATTTAAATTACCCGTAAATTTATCATCAATATAAGAAAAATCTAATAATAATACAAAAATTTCAAAATAAAAATAAGAGATTAAAAAAACTAACCCTCGGTGGTTGATTTTTCATTTCTGACCGTGAATGGTTGTGAGGGTTGCTCTGAGAGATGGAGATAGACGGATTTCGCCGGAGATGGGGACGGATTTTGTCGGAGTGGGGACGGATGTCGCCGTAGAGAGTGAGAGATGGAGATGGGACTGAGTTGTGATTTAGGGTTTTAGGTTATGATTTGCGATAGTACTATTTACATTTGTGTTGCGAAATTAATATTGTGTTTCGAATTCAAAAATAAAATTTGCGTTGCGAAAATAAACGCGCTTTGCGAATTTGACTTTTGTGTTGCGAATTTGACTTTTGTGTTGCGAATTTGACTTATGTGTTGCGATTTACAAATTCGCGTTGCGAATTTGGAAACTGGGTTACGAAATTGGAGTTCGCGTTGTTAATTTGTTAGTCATTTTCACAAATCCAAAAAAAATTGGTTAAAATCGTATATTATAAGGCATTTTCGATCGCTGAGGTTATTTTCTCTAATTTCAACCTCATATTTTAAAATTATTTCAATTACGTCCCTCATCAATGTGTGTTGCTTAATTTATTTAAATTTTTATTTGTAATTTCATATTTGTTCAATTTAGTCCTTAATTTTACATTTTTCATAAAATTGATCCATGATTATTTATATTCTTAGTAATTTACTCTAAATCATATACAATTACAAATTGCAATTCAACATTCACGAAAGACGAAAATAATTAATCCAAAAATAAAAATTGACATGATTTGAACTCAATACGTATCTGATAAAGACCGACCTGAATTTTATCTGCCAATGATGTGACCTGATCTGAACAAGATCCGCCTAAAGTCCATCCGAACCTGAATTAACTTGGTCTTTAACTACTCCGGACCTAAACTATTTTGACCTGAACTTAAAGTAACCCGACTTGATTTGACCTGGACCTGACCTGATTCGAGCCGAAGCATCAAATTGACCTGACTTGACCTATATCCGATTTTATCCGACCTGACAGGATCCGAATGAAACATGAAATATTACATGATTTTACATCCCTAGCTTAAGGGCTACTTTTGTCCCTCTAGTAGACCTAATTTATCATTTTTACCCCTATGATATTTTCGCATCGATTTAACCCTCAAAGTTGTTTCGGGACATCATCCTAGCCCTCGAAGTCTATTTTGACTAATAGAACCGTAAGTCTTCTACGTCTGTGGATGCCAACAATTTCCACATCACTCAATATTGTTACGTGGCTTGATGATGATGTTACATTTATTAAAAATAAATAATAAAATATTTACTAAACATAATAGTTAGAAAAAAAATCCCCAAAAATTTAATTTAATCTCTTAATCTCTCTAAAATAAATAATAAAAATTTTGAGAAATTTTTTCTAACTCTTGTGTTTAGTAAATATTTTAGCTTAATCCCTTTATCCATAAACGCAAAAGACTAACGATTCTATTAGTCAAAATGGTAAATGGACTTCGAGGGCTAGGATGATGCCGTAGTCGTGAGCTTTCTAAGTTGGGTATCAAGTAGCTCGCTTTGGCTCGTTATGAACTCGAGTTGAGTCTATTCAATTCGAAAATTGATCAAATTTTGATCAAATCGATCTCAAATAATTCACGATCTGTCTCATTTAATTTACGACCCTATTTGGTACATACATATTCTAAAATCTATAGCTAAATGTTCCATAATCAATGTATTTGCTTATTGGATCCCTTACCAAAAACCATGTGCGATCACAAAGCTTTTTTCTAGAAAAAGTATTATTTCTACTCTTCCCTTCAACTTTAGAATCGAATATAAGTTTTGATATATATATATATATATATATATATATATGAAGAAGCAATAGATACGATCTCAACCAATAAAATAAAGACAAAATCTTATTAAAAGGTATAAAGATATAAATCTAGATGAAAAATCAAATAATCTCAAATCCTATTAATTTAAATTCATGAATGAAATTAATGCATCACAAAATAAAATTTCATTGGCACCACCACCACAATAGAAGTTGGAAACCCTTGAAACTTTTTCCCTGCAGAAAATTCGCCATTGTTGGCAACCAAGATATCTATCCACCTGCACAGCATTCATTGTTATACACTATCGTCTCCTTCGAAGGGGAAAGGACGAATAAATGCAGAATTCATTTCCCATATTCTGAGTGTAGCCTTCACATTTACACCAGTTCCATTGTTGAACAAGAACAACCTTGCTGCCCCATAGATGGCTTCCGTTGGATAAATTCTTGACGATATCACTGTCCTCCCTCCTTGAGCAAAGCTTTCCACAATTGAATGATCCACCTGAATCAACATTTCTTATTTCATCTCAAATTTTGATATTTAAAAATTTTCATTAAGTCTCTTAAAATTTTAAAAATTGTAGTTAAACCTTTAATTTATTTATTTTTTAGAAAAGATATAAACCAAACCCTTCAAAAAATTTAAAAATCTTAATTTAAACATCTAAATTTTTTTAAATTTTAAATTGCCCTCAAACTCTATCGCAAGTTTCACCACTGTACTTACCAATACCCTCATATTGTAATTCTCATCGTTAAGCACTGGAACTTTGCCTCCGTACACTTGTTTAAACACATCGGAAGCTTTAGAAGACCTGAAAGAAATAATTTATTGGTTCACATATGCACAGAAATGTTGCAGAAAGAGATGTAAACCAAATAAAGCAAATTAACCTTGTTTCGTCCGCATATGCACAGAAATGTTGCAGAAAGAGATGTAAACCAAGTAAAGCAAATTAACCTTGTTTCGTCCGTGCAAAAGTAAGTCTCGAGACTGCCATTAGATGCATGAAGGGGACGGAAATATACAGGAGTGAGCTCAGAAAGTGAAGCATCAGCAATAACCAAAAGGCCATATGGTCCGTAAGTACTCCGGTCAACTGCGCCTCCACCGCAATCATCGACATAGTTCGTATTCGTAGTACTAGACGCCAATGACTCTATTTCAAACTCTGCTACTATATCCAACTGCAATATTGCGTTCAAGAAATATAGTGATGAATCATAGAAGAAACCGAAGAATTAAATATTTATATATATATATACCACAAAGTGCTAGACAAAACCTGTGTGGCTGTGCCAATGTCAAGGGGCACAACAGATCCTGGTTCAACTAACACATCCTTAAACACTGTATTGTTCAATCTCAAGCTCTCTACTTCTTCAACTGGCCATTGAAGTAAATTGATTCCAGTCTTGTTGTCAAATAGAACAGTCCTGGGAATTGTCTGTAAAATACAGAAAAAAAATTAGAGTGGAATTACAAGTTAAATCAAAATGGTAACGAAATACCACATATTATCATTAAATCAAGTTTCCTTTTTCTTCTCTAGGATAAAAATACAAGTCAAAAACATTTAATTGTCCCCAAAGGTATTATGAAATGCAGTCCGTAGTTGCTTATACCTCAAGAAAGTTTGATATATCCAAACTACAAGAAGAAAATCACCACACAAACTTTAGCGTGACGTTTATTGCATAAAGGCGGCTTTCAGTGAGCTGACTTTTCTTGATCCATTAGAAAACCAAGATTTAATATAATAATATATTATAATCGTAGCTTAAAGATGCAAAATTTCGATTTGGTATTTGATTAAAAACAGGTTTAGAATTTAGACTAATCTTGCACAGAAATTATTGTAGGGTAAACTACGTATTTAGTACCACCTATTTTCGTAGTTTCATTTTAGTCGTCTAACTATTTTTTTTCTAAATCATAACTAACGTTGTGTTATTGTTCTATTTTAAATATCATTTTTAAAAAAATAAAGAGAAGTGTTGACATGATAATTCTTTTATTTTTTTCAATGATGACATATATTATCTTAGGATGACATATCAACATCGTCATTAAATTTTTTAATAAAATATAACATAATGTACGATTTTAAAAAATAATTTAATGACAAAAATAAAATCATAAAATTAGATGAATAACTAAATACGTAGTTTATTGAAGATTGTATGATAAGATACCTGAAGGGAAGCCCATCCTTTTTGGAGATCAGCAGTTTCGGTATCAGTTTCATTAATCCAACCCCAAAGAACCCTCCTTTGTTTATGTTGGTCGAAAAATGTCTTTGAGGCATAGTATCTCCCGTAATCCAGTTTCAAACCGATACCCACATCCTCTTCCGGGTTATCGGGTGTCCATTTATCTACTATCGGGTCATAACTCCCAATTGCATAATGGTCCACTTTTGTGTCATCTAAACTAACCTTCAACACATGCTTAATTCCAGGCCCAAGTGCTGACGTGTCCAGCGCCACCGACCCGTTTACTGCAACCGGATAAAAATCCACGCATTCCCACATACCCGTACCCGGAACCGCATGTAAAAATCCATCCAATAATTCGTAATCCCTAAAATTCGTCGTTTTATAAACAAGTGAGATTCCGGCGGTGGAATTAAACTTGGAGCCCATGGTGAGCCTCCAGGTGCCGTCGGATCCGAGCCAAGCGGTTGTCGGGTCTCGGAAATCATCGGGTTGAATACCGGGTGGGGGAACCATAACGGGATTACCCGGGTATTTTAACCAGTGGAGGAGGAGGGGATCAGATAGGTTGGCGGGGTATGCTAGATTTTGCACCTGTACGGATTCATTGGTTTTGCCGGTATAAAGCACTAGGATTTGGCCATCTGGCAGGAGAGTGGCGGATCCTGTCCACACACCGTAAATGTCGTACCAGCGGTCCGGGACCATGGCGAGTGGAAGATGGAGCCAATGAATGAGATCCCTTGATACAGCATGGCCCCATGTGATGTTACCCCATATAGCTGAATAAGGGTTGTATTGGTAAAATAGATGATACCATCCTTTATGATACAATGGTCCTGCAAGCACAGTATTTGTTTTTACCAAAAATGTCACATGAATAAAGTAGGCAAAATCACAATAATAATACACGTGGGAAAAGAATATGAAAAATGAGGGTGATTTAGAATTATTCTAGGATTTAGATTATTTATTATGGTGCATGTGAAATTCTTGAATGATTTATTTTGCTAATTAATTATTCTATCTACATTATTTGCCTGATTTTACAATAAAGTATCACATGATATCTATTAGTCGGATAATAAAACTAATTAGTTGGGGAGACTGATGTTTCCTATCACCAAACAAACAAATATTTGAACTTGAACGGTATTCATTTATCAAAATTTATCGTTAATTTATAGAATATGTTTAAATAATTAAAATATTTTTAAAAAATAATTAAATTATTATATCATATCATCGTTCATATATTAAATCTCAAAGATTCAAATGGATGAAAAAGAAAATAATTATTTTTTAAAAAAAATAAATACTTATTACACCTTTAACATAGTTAAAATAAAATATATGAGTGGCCAATGCATACATTAAAAGTGTCCAATGCTATTGGGGTAGATTTCAGTTGTGTTGATTGGTCCACTATTTGTGTCCAAATAATCATTATTCCATGTTATTTCATTTCAATAACATAAACTCCCTACATACATACATGGCCCGGTGTCATTTACGGCATTTAAGATGAACACCAAGACAGCTTTCATTTATGGGAACATGTGGGTAAGCTTTCGTAAATAGGGCACATCGACTATTGGACTACAACTTTTACGATCATTTATGCATTACTTCCAAGACACAAACTAAAATATAAATTTATATATCATATGAAGAATAAACGTCATATCATATTTTTAGGGTAAAGTATACAAATGGTCTCCTAATTATAGGACGTTGTTTTGTCAAGTTCTCAACTATTAAAAGTTATAAAATATTCTTTTAACTGTAGGGAGTTACTTTGTTGAGTCCCACAACTATTAAAAGTTATATAATGGTCACTTGACTATTTATATGTTCCAAACTCATTCTTTTATGTTAACGATTGTTTGAGTTGGATGTTAACTTGCTAACTGGGATACAATAAAATCATATTTCAATGATGTCTATTGGCATCGTCATTGTTTTCAAACACTGGCTTGACAATATAATGTTTCAAGCACTGACTTAACGACATAATGTAAACAGAGACCTGAGACCTGTTCCACAAAATACACCTGAAACGGTTCTGACATCAGATTTTATCATATTTCAATCAAGCATGTTAACATCCAACTCTAAATGCTATCAATTTTTTAACGAAAATGATGAGTTTATAACATATGAATAGTTGGGTGACCATTTTGTAACTTTTAATAGTCAAAAGACTTAACAAAATAAAGTCCTATAGTCAATAGACCATTTTATGACTTTTAATAATTAGAGGACTCAGTAAACAATGCCCTATCCTATAGTCAATGGATAATATTATAACTTTTAATAGTTGAAGACTCAACAATACAACACCCTATAGTTGAAGGACCTTTTGTGTATTTTATCCATTTTTTCTTATATCATTTAACCTTTTAACACGTAGTAATCATAAACTACCAATAATCTCCGAAGATGTGAGTTAATGTAAAAAAAAAAAAAAACTGCACAAACTCAAAGTAAACAGCATAGGATCAAAAATTTACCGTTAGGATCTGAAACAGAACATCCAAAGTCCGAATCCAAGGTGCAATGTTAACAGAAAAATAAAGCAAGATTCGGTCAGTACATTAGCAACCGAACCAAAAATATTTTAAAAAAAGGGTAAATTGTGTATTTAATACCTAAACTATCAATTTTAATTTGTTTTAGTACATAAACTTTCAATTTTTTCAAAATCATACCTAAAATTTAATTTTTATTTCATTTTAGTACCATGCCGTTAAGTTTTAAAAAAAATATGAAAGTCTAGGTACCAAAACACGTTTAGTACCTAAATCATACTTGAATTTTGATTTTTTTTTTTAAAAAATATAGGTATTAAAACAGATTAAAACTAATAGTTTACGTACTAAACGTGTTAAGTTTTAATGATGAGTGTTAAAATGAAACAAAAAGTAACCTTTAGGTATGCTTTTCAAAAATTTGAAAGTTAAGCTGCTAAAATGTACCAAAAATTGATAGTTGAGGTACTAAATGCATAATTTACCCCAAAAAGGCATAAAATGAAATCTCATTTATCTAAAAGAGGAAAGGAAAACGGTTGGGGTTACGTACCATTCATCCAATTCTTTTGGGGCTGAAAATGGTAAGCACTTCTTTGCCAAGAAAACATAGCGTTTGTCCAATTAAACGGAGCTTGGTTCAAAAGAGACGGATTTGACTTTGCCGACACTCCTTCGGCCACCCCTCTTGGCTGCAACGTCGCTGAAGCTGAGGGCTCCGTGTTGGGCAAATGGTTAGTCATTATTACGATCAGAGTCAGTAGGAAAATGACGACAGCAAAACCCTTCAAGGGTCTAGTGGCGGCGGAAGGCCGGTGTAGCAATGGAGCATGGAATGCGGAGTTTTGTTCAAGGTCCTCCATAACAGTTGATCGGAGGAAAACTTGTTGATGACTGATGAGTAGTTTAACTTGAATAATGAGGAAGAAGAAAAAGATAATGAGAGAGGCTTATATAGAGCTAAGCTTGGATTGGTGGTTGTCCAATTTAGTTGGGGGAGAAAAGTGAACAAATAAAGAGAGACAAAATTAACGGGGTTGATTAAGTGATAACCAAATTTGATATCGATTAAGCATCTTGAGTTCGAGTCTTTGTTTAGGCAAAAAATCTTCGTTGAAAGACTTGCCTACAAGAACCAAATATACAACCCGAGTCGATTTTGATTAATCAAGATGAAACTTTGATAACATAGAAAAATAAAAGAAAAAGACAGAAGGGGGACTTATCTCGTGTTTTGTATCGTGAAACGAAACAAAGAGGGCAGGTGAAAAGCTTAATTGTTTATATTATGAATTTTCTCAAGAAATCAAACAGAGAAAAAAATTATTAATTCCAATACGTTTTCAAATCTACAAATCAAAACCATTTTTGTTTTGATTTTGTTTTTGATGTTGAAACTCTGTACCTTTCAAACATTTATTTTTCTCAAATTAGATAATATATACGTATCTTATTTTTAAAATTTTGGGTAAAGTACACAAATGGTCCTTCGACTATAGGATATTGTTTTATTGAGTTCTCTAATTATTAAAAGTTATAAAATGATCCTCTGACTATAGGGTGTTGCTTTGTTGAGTCCCTCGACAACTAAAAGTTACAAAATGATCACTCGACTACTCATTATGTTCTAAACTTGTCCTTTGTCTTTTAAAAAAATTAACAATCATCTGAGGTGAACGTTAACATGATGAATGATATATAATAGTCGTTTGAGATTATGAAATCAAATTTTATCATATCTCGGTCAACATGTTAACGTCCAACTCAGATTGTCATCAGTTTTTAATGGAGAAGAACGAGTTTGGGACATAATGAATAGTCAGGTGATAATTTTTTAACTTTTAATAGTCTATGGACTCAACAAAGCAATATTTTATATTCGGAGGACTATTTTGTAACTTTAAATAGTCGAGGGACGCAATAATGCATCGTCATATAATTAGGGTACCATTTGTGTACTTAAACCTAAAAATTTTAAATATGAAAAACTAATACGTATATAATCATCATGATATTTTTTATTTATTAAAAAATATAAATTATAATTAAAGTCAAATTCATATAAAAATACCAACGATATTCAAACAAATATAAGCCACTTCCAGAAGAAAAAGTGATTAAAAGCTTAATTCTAGATAGAAATTAGAAAGACGGTCGGTCCATTCAATATTTTATTGTTCAAATTAAAAAAAAAGATGAAAAGTCAGCAATGCCCGCTTAGCTTGTAGCTTATAATATATATGCCGTACGAGTCTTAAAACAAATTAGGTGAACTTAATATTTAGTCATTCAATTAATTTTATGGTTCTATTTTCATCCATCAATTTCTTTTCAAAATCATATTTAATGTTATATTTTAGTTTTATTTTAATCCCTCGTTGTTAAAAACTAATAAAATTGCTAATATGATACTTTTTTATATTTTATAATAATGTGACATTACTTTATATGTAGTGATAGACAAAATCATCATTAATATTTTAATAGTAAATGAGTAAAATAAAATTTAAATAAAATTTTAAAAAATAAAATAATTGATCGACTAAAATAGAAACACAAGAATAATAAATAGATATTTTATCCAAAACAATTATATATATGGCGTATGGGAGAGAGAGACGTGGATGAAGGCCGTTACTAATATGTTCAGTTAAGGCACGATACTTTGACATTAAATCCTTGTTAATTTCATTGATCAACACCAACTGTACACTGACGTGAACCATATCTATGTTATAATTATTATCATCGAAATTCACGTGTTACTTAACCTACATAATTTATAAAGATTTAGTAGGTCAGCTATGATTTTCACACTTCTCTCCAACATTGATGGAACCCGTTATTTTATGTAAATTATTACTATTACCTTTTAAAATAAGGGTAAAGTACATAAATTGTCTCCCGACAATAGGATAATATTATTTTGAATCTTTCAACTATTAAAAGTTATAAAATAGTCCATTGACTATAGGATGTTACTTTGTTGGGTCACCCGACTATTAAAAGTTACAAAATGATCACCTGACTATTTAGTATGTTCCAAACTTGTCCTATTATGTTAAAAATTTTACGACAGTTTGAGTTGAATGTTGACTAAGATATGATAAAATCTGATCCTAGAATCTCAAAAAACTATCTCAATCAACATGTTAACATCCAGCTCGTATTGTTATTAATTTTTTAACGAAAAATGACGAGTTTGGAACATACTAAATAGTCGGGTGACCATTTTGTAACTTTTAATAGTCGAGGGACTCAACAAAGCAACACCCTATAGTTGAGGGATCATTTTATAACTTTTAATAGTCAAATGATTCACTAAAATATCACCCTATAGTCTAGGGACTATTTGTATACTTTACTCTTAAAATAATAATAGTAACTAATTTTGTTAAATAAATAAAATATAATATGACAAAAAAAGGAAAATTTCGCTCATAATAGATATTAAACCCACAACTTAGGGGAGAGAGAAAGTGTCAACTGAGATCTTTTAGCCATTTGCTGTAAAAATTGTTGACACAAAATTTTATAATTTAAAAAATATATAAAATTTAAAAAGGATAATCACATCAATCATTTTTCAATCATAAAAAATAAAAATAAAAATAAATTATTGAATAATAAAAATAAGATGAAAGTTCACGTTCATTAGCTTTCCCATGGAGGTGAGGAGTCAGAGCAGAGCTAGGGTTTACTTCAGTCTAGTTTCTTCCCGACGTTCAGGTTTTTCAGTCTTCGTCAACTGGGTTAGCAAAAGGATTCATCATTCATCCTACCGCCTCGAGGGAAGCTATCCAAGAATATGGGAAAGTCTGTGATGTCTATATTGCATATTGGAATGCAAAAAGAAGGTTGAAGGCTTTTATTTTTGCTTTTGTAAGGTTTGAAACCACAATGGGCTATGAACGCTATCAAAAGAGCTGATAAGAGACATATTGATGGTTTTGTGATTCATGTTTTTAATGTTGAAGAGCCAAGGAATGATAAAAGCTCCCCTCGAAGGAAAATCTCAAAGCAAAAGGAAAGTACTAGAGAGCATTTTTTATCGACTATTGATAAGAGGTCTTTTAAGGAGGCATTGCTAGGAGTTGGTAATGAGGCAAAGGGAATCGAAGTGGGTGACCATGTAAAGCTTGAGCAGGAGGGTCAACAATCTAAAGGAAAGGATGGCACGTTGACAGGTGTCGTTTTAGTGTCAAAATAATTTCGGCTTCTCAAAAATAAATAAATAAAGAGAGAAAGTAGAATAGGGAAGCAGGGTCGGTCTATAGGGACTCTGGTGTTCCTGATGAAGTGAACTTTCTGATTTAGAAAAGGATAAGATAAGGTAGAGTTTTGGATGAGATTAAATAGGGGTTTTAAAAGTTGTTTTTAAAATAAAATATAAGAATTAAATAAAAGAAAATAATTTAAAGTGATTGAGATAAAGAGAAACTTATAATGAAATTAGCCTTGGACTTCGGCTTTGCCTCAAATTCCCGTTGATCCTCAGAATAGATTTTTTTCTTCGGTTATTTGCCGGTTATAGTCTATAGGGCCCAACCCCTGTAACTTGTTTTTCTCTCTTGTGAACCGATAATCCAAAATCTATTTTTTTATATCAGTCCTTTACGGAGACTAACTACGACTATCGTCGTTAGCACCAACCTGTTTTATAGATATGGAAAAACACGACTCGGACTATGTCGCCTCAATGAGAATCTAGCCCGATCTCAATTTCCCTTAGCGAACTACCGCTAAGTGTGTTCACAGGAAGTCGAACTTGCTACCAGTCGATTCTTCCTCCCAACTGTAAATCATAACAACTTTCGAACCAACGTCGACTTTTTTGAATAAAAAGCATTTTGATTTTTAAAAACATAGGTCGATTATCAATCTTATTCCTCCAGAAAATTGAGAAAATAACTTGAAGTTATTTTAGTGCTTTTCAATCCTTACAATAGGGATTGAGTCATCGCTTCAACCCTTGGTTATGGAGAAATTAGCTAAGTATGACAATCATACTTATCATCTTTGAAAATAAAAATAAAAACAAAAACAAAACAAAACAAAAACTTTGAAAAAAAAAAGAAAAACTTTTATTGAAAACTAGAGAAAGAAAAAGAATAATTTATGAATGTGTTTCTAGACTTACCCTGATAGAGTATTTATAGCCTTCAAAATCCTAAAAATATGGAAAATATAATTCCTAAAATAAAGAGAGAATTCCTAATGAAAATACTTAAACTATTTAAACTAAAATACTAAAAACAAAGATAAGATAAAATATAACTCTTAAAATATTTAAAATAAAATCCTAGAGATAAACATGGAATAAAAATAATCCTAAATATAAATCCAAATGTTTTATTCAAATTCAAACTTTAAATCTCCTAAGATATCTATGTCCGTCCACCTTCTATAAGGTGCTGACTAGATCTTCTAGAAAACTGTTGCTGACTGGACCTTCTAGAAACTACCACGTTAGACTGTGTCTTGCCCAGAGTCGTGCCCATGTCTCCAGCCATGAACAAATAATAATAAAAAATGCAGAATACACCCTTTTTACTGTTGATTATGGAAAGTAAGATCCTGCGAAAATAAGCATAAAACAACTAAATTAGCAGCAATAAATCCACAAGTTCGAAGAATTAACGAGCAAATATTATCGATTTATAACACTCATCAAATTCCACCACTTATCTCATGCTTGTCCTCAAGTATGATATAATCAAATCAGTCAAAAATTCCATTTACCTTTCTTTGTCAAGTCTCACATTCGAGGAGGCAAGGTAGAGACCACAATAATCATCCAAGTCAAGACATCAATCAATTGAACAT